TAAGTGATATGGCTGGATTTCGTAAACAGTGGCATTCGTGTCTCGTATCCATTTCTGCGTATTAGTAATCTGCTGAACTTTCCAATCTTCTTTTCGATCCTACTTTAAATCTCCCCCATGTTTCTACTAATGTCCATCCAAAGGGGTAGCCGAAGGATAGGAACCAAAACCGGCGCACGATAGTGCATTTTCAATGGTTGCGCAAAGAAGAAGAGGAAGAAGATAGATTTCAAGTGCAACTATACCGCCCGTGTGGTAGTCATGGTTATCGTTTAACTCAAACAGAGTCTTTTGCGACAGAGAAGCAACCTCATTTCGTCCAATGTTACCACACTAGTTCGATCCGTTCCGCTGTATAGTTCCAAGACGTTGCAATCAATAGTATAATATAGAAAACAGTACTTATTCAGCGGTTTTCACAAACCACACCACTGTATTGTATGTCATTTTATGTCGCCCATTAACCAATCGTGAGCAGATTTCTCGTTTGTAAATATTGTTTTGCATGTTTTTTTGGCTCGGAGTCTGAACTTAAACAACTTGGATGTATGAAAGAATAGGTCGCAGAGGACCGTTTGATCAACGAGCTGATCGAAAGCGTTCCGTACACGCTCGTGCTACTATGGGATCAAGACCGTTAGAGCAAATTGCGGCCGCAGTGCAACAGTGCATGTGTATACGCGCTTACTCATTCCTATCTTGTCTCCCGGAATCGATTCATCTATCTGTCTGGTTCTCTTAGGTGGTGCCCATCGGGATATAGGCTAGCCCACATCGACCGCTCCGGTTCTGACTGCATTACAGTGTTAACAACACTATCAGAATTAGGCCAGTGCAACAAGGTAGGAGAGGTTGAGTGATTTCAACGTGTGTCGGTATTCTGTCCATCTCTAATGATTTGTTGGGGCTGAGGAACAAGGATAATGGTAAACAGGCAGCGCTCTATCCATGATTCTTGGTTTGTGGGGTAGCTAGATATGAAATAATCACTCTAGTTTTCACGACGAGAACACACCCAATCACTCAATCGTCAATTTCCTCCAAGGTTACTCCTGTGAGTACTTCCCTCGTTCATTGATTCGTTTACTGTTTTCAACACGAATGGATAAACCCTCAATGATCATCAAACTCGTTTGTTTGCTGTTTTAAAATAGTTATGAGTATTTATTTTATTCTGTCCGCTTCAGTCATTGAGAAGGAAACAAGCACTCATTTTTCTCATTGGTGTGTACGCATTGCTGATTGCCGCATCATAATAATTATGTCCCGTGGGATACTTGTTTTGCATGTTGTTTTGATGTGTTCGGCAATTTCTTGACAGCCGATGTGATCAGATTGATCAAATTTGATGTGATAATTACACCGCTCTTCATGCCATTGGAAAATGGAACGGATTTTAATTGGGATACCACTGGAATGTTCTTGAATATATCCGATGTTTTCAAACACTTTTCTCCTCGCCAGTTTACTTGAGTACGGTTGAACTACCGAATAAGTTAAACATACGCCATTGGGCCAATACGATCAAACAATGAACATATTCAGTGAGTTTGTTGGAGACAGACAGTTTACACCTGGTCGGAAGCTGTTTGATCGATTTGGTTTAGTCACGGATTGTCGTTGTCGAGACCCATGGATGTAAAAGCGACTATGCTTTGCACAAGGTCTTAGGAATTCCGATGGGCTTTCAGATCTGCTGGTTCTGTGGTGTTCGGGTGCTTTTATGAGGTAATTTTTCCAGTTCATATTCGTGCGAAGGCACTGCGTTTTTCTGAATACAGTATGATACGAACGCTGCTGTAGTTATTGCCCCCCTGTTTGTAGGCTATGACCGATTGGACCAAGGAACATTTCCGCCTGTACAAAGGATCCAATCAGGTTGAGTTTGATGTCGAAGGTATGTCATATAGTTGATCCGTGCTTTTTATCTTTTTTCCGGTGTATGAAAACTTTTACTTAGATTCCACTTAATGCTGTTTACTTATTGTTTTCCATGCTTTAATGATTGTTGTTTAAATTAGTCTTCAATCTGTCCTGTTTGCCATTCTACATCTTGAGATACTTTTTTCCGCCCACTTGCTACTCAGCTTACTTTCCATGCCATTGTATTCCACTGTGCATACAGACCGAACTGTATGCTCTCTCTAATGAGTGACTAAACTGAACTGAAATCACTATTACTAGTAACGATTTGGAAAACCGTTTACCTGAGGAGCTAAATTATCAACTAGCTCTGGTGTTGGTCTCGATGCAAAGTCGTTATAGCGAAACCCAGGTGTCTCTCCCCAACTTGTGGCGCTGCCGTGATATCCCCCTCCACCTATAATTACCGCAGTGCAAAAACCCACTGTGTGTTTACTCTGCGGTTGCTTGTTCATAGTGCCGACAGGTAATTTCAACGCGCAGGTTGGCAAGCGAAGCGCGTCCGAAGCCTGGAGGAGGCACTTCGCTCTTCCCACCCTGCGAACAAACAGGCGATCGACCACTTCAGTTCTGAACAGATCGCCGACTGTTCTTATCTAGCACCAACTTTCGGCACAGCTCTCGTTGAACGGCAACATAGTGTTCTAGTTCAACGAGTAACTTGGCCCAAATTGACCACGTAGCTGTAAACGACCGTTGGCGTGATTCAGTACAAAATTGCAGATCCTATTGAACTACCTGCGTTGAGTCTGGTCACGCACTAGTTTTGATGCACTCCACACTTCGACTCATCGGTCATCATGAAAAATCGCTTATTCAGTTGGCTCATCATCGGTTACGCAATCCATCTGTTTGCGCACGTTATGAGGCAGAGCTTGAACAGGATCTAGGGACATTGCGTGGTGGTGGAGTAGATCAACAGCGGGACCAAATCAGACGAGCAATGCATTTAGCAGCAAACTTGGTTTGTGAGTCCAAGTCGGAAGTTCTTCGAAGATATTGGATCTCTCAAGAGTCATTAATTCTGATAGACCAAAAGATCTCAATCTCCCAGGACCGAACAAAACCACCGGTTTCTGCAGCGGCAGCGGAGTTAGAGCCTTGAGAAAGATCGCGAAATTTGGTGGGTAGAAATAGCAAGTGAAACACAAGTTGGTTCTGCGTCAGGGAATAGTCAACGACCGTTTCATCTAATACGCAGCACCGGAGGTCGTCTTATGCCGGTCAGTGATAAAAGTGAACAGAGTATCCGCAATGATGAGCAACGACTTGATCTCCGGGCAGGGTGTTTTAGTGAATAGTTCAATTGACCTTGTGCCAATGCGGCTATTCCGGCAATTGCGGCAGGAATATGTGGTGGTCGGTGGTAGCAAATAAGCCTCCAACGGGATTAGAAGTACGAAACCATATTGAATCGCTAGATAAATAAGATGCATCTAAATCTCATGGTTTCGATTTGTACAACCATTAACCATGCACTATCGTGCGCCGGTTTTGGTTGCTGTCCGTTAACTGCCCATCGTAATGAACATTAAGAAACATGGGGGAGATTTAAAGTAGGATCGAAAAGAAGATTGGAAAGTTCAGCAGATTACTAATACGCAGAAATGGATACGAGACACGAATGCCACTGTTTACGAAATCCAGCCATATCACTTAGTGTCTCAAAACATCGGGTACGATCATCCCGAGGTCCCCATCCAGGGAACCTAATGGGACCTGTATGACCTAGACCCCTGGTTAGGGTTTTCATACCCTCATGCTAGGTCTTAGCTGGACCACCCTGGGCTTTATTCAACCCACTACCTGCCTTGGCAAACATCGCTTGCCATGGCAACCTATCTGGCGGTATGCGTAACACGTGCCCCAACCAGCGTAATCTATGAAGGTCGACCACTTGCTCCAGTGGGCGAACGCGATTGCCTAAAAATTTTTCCCTAACCTCAGCATTGCTCGTCCGGCTGCCCCACCAGATTCGTGAAATGCTGCGTAGGCAGCGGTGTTCCAACACCGACAGTCTATCTTTGTCGTATTTTTTTAATGGTCAAGTTTCTGCTCCATATAGCAGAACTGGCCGAACTATTGCAGCATATACTCGACCCTTCACAGACAGCCGGATGTCGCGACGGCGCCACAGATGTCTCAAGTTGGCGAATGCCAACCGAGTCTTTTGCATGCGAGCTGACACTTCATCCGTGATGCCTCCACCGGGTGAGATGTAGCTGCCCAGATAACAAAACCTATCCAACTGCTCTATTACTTCTCCAGTTAGACTGAGGCCGGGTGCTGGACCAACCCA